GCAGATGACTGTGCCTTGAATAACGCAGTGGGCTGCTTAATGAGCTTTCTGTTATGCATGATGTGCTGTATCTGAAGTTCGCTAATTTTCTGACCTGGTGAAACTGATTTTAATAAGCTTGATGTAACGCAGCAGATAAAGACAAAGGGAAACACTGAATGGGGGCTCTCGCAACAAAGGCCTCGGAGCTGGCTTGGAGATGCTAAAAGTGTTAATAGAATTGATGAAAAGCTGAGGGAAGAAATTCCCCGTTTCCACGGAGGTCTGCCCGGCGCTGGCCCGCTTATTTACAGACAAACCAGGGTCACTGGTGGGAAACGCGAGACATTTCAAGCAGGGCTCGTAGCCGCCTCCGCTTCCTGCAGGCTTTGGGGGAGCTTCGGTGGAGTCTTCACTCAAATCCCAGAGAGTTAATTGCCGCTAAACCATGCTGGCGAGTTGTGAATGGTTTGGTAGAATGCCGATCTTTCATCAGTTCTAGATAAAACTTGATTTCTCTGGGTATATGTTCTTCTCTAAATATTGAGCTTTTCGTTGTTAGTCTAAAGCTTGAAATGGTGGCAGTTTTTTACTTTCTCATTCTTGTTTCTTTATAGAAAGGGAGGGGGAGTCCGAGACAGAGAGGCCTGAAAGATGAAGGTTTTAAACATAAAGGGATTGTTTTGGGATGGAGCTTTCCCTTGTGCGTGCTCACCGTTAAAGAATACATTTTTGTCCAGTAAATTGGACCCACGCCTGCCTGCCTTCAAAAAAAAAAAAAAAAAAAAAAAAGCTACCAGGCTCTTCTGCTTCATGGTTTTGAGTCTCTGATACTTTTGAAATGAAGCCTAAAGATCCTACAAAGAGGATAACACTGCCTAATGGAAAGAATAATGCAAGCGAGAACCCATTTGAAATGACAGCTGTGAGCCTCGTGAAGCTTTTCTGTGCTGATCAAAGCTGCCGGTAACGCTGTTTGAAAAGAGGGTATCAGTTTCCCCCCTCTCTTTTTTCCCACTCAACCTGCAGATGATTTTATAGTCCAGGCTTTGCACTTTTTTTCCTGGGAGATCAAGTGAACCTCCTAAGTGACTGGTGTTCAGGTCAGCGCGCTGGGGAGCGCCGGCGGCAAAGTGGTTTGGGGTGGGGCGGGGGGGGGATCGGTCCCCCCGGGCCCTCCGAAACGCCCCGCACGGGGACGCGGTGACTTTGTGAGGCTGAGCCGCCGTGTTCAGCTTTTCTGCCAATGTCTGCAAACGCTCCAAACAATCCGTGAGCAGATTGTGCTTGCTAGGCGCAGTTTTATGGTGGCTTTTATTTTATTCTCCACGCGTGTCCCATAATTTTGGTTATTTTATGAAGTTCAGTGCTGAAGCCGGGTGATGATTTGAGCATCTCGGCCTCTGGTTTTATTCTTGTTTTAAATTCCTGTGCTTACTGCTGAAGTCTAAACGTAGGACCTCGTGTGCCCCAAGTGCTTTAGCCATTAGAAGCAGAGAAAATTCTTTGCATGGTATTTTTTGATGTAAGGACTAATGTCATGATCTTTGTGACTTCTTTTTGGTTTGATTCCTATTGTCTGGCTGTTTGTAGGGGTCAGGGTCTTGTGTCCTTTGGGGATGCAAGGTGTTTGGAGTCCTCGGGGGCTGGGCAGAGCAGGTCTGGAGGAGTCAAGTGATTTCACATAAAGCCAGGGCTGCACGCGAGGGAGTCCTGGCAGCACGCGTGGAGGCAGGGGGGTGTAAAACGGCCCTTGTGCTTTTCGCTCCCTCCTGGTTGCCTCGTAGCCAACTTCAGGCTGAGGTAAAGGAAAAACGGGTGGTTTGAGAAGGGAACGGTCCCACTGGAGCAGGGCAGAGACCTGGGGAGGGAGCGTGCCCTTCCCGGGGAGCCCCTGAGCCCCTCGAGTCCCCCCGGCAGGCCTGGCCCTCCTCAGGCAGCGTAGCTCTCACCGGGTTTGCTCACAAAGCCCCTGGAAGAGCCGCTAAATCCCCGGGGGGTTCTGCTCGGTAATGCCGGGTGCGAGACGGCGGGGCTGGGCGCTGCCTGCCCAAATCCAGCCCCGCTGCTCCTGGGTGGGTGCTGCCCCCTGACCCCCCTCTCCCCCCCACCCCGGTTTGGAGAAGGCAGCTGCTCGCAGCCAGTCCTGGACTGAATCTGTGACCTCAGGGCAAAGCATTTAAAACCAGATGTGCCCATCTTCCCTCGCACGGAGCTGCTTCGGTATTTAAAGCGAAACTATTGATGCAGGAAGCAGAAAAATTTATCTGAAAAATTGAACTCCAAATACGGGCTTTAGCTCGTGCAGAGCAATAAGAGAGCATGAAATTGGTGTGAATCCTCAGGGCTTTCCTGGACGGTGTGCGAGCCCATTGCAAAACATTTATTGTAAAATATCTTCTAATTGCAATGCTTAAAGTGGGCACTTTTGTCCTTTTGAACAGCTTTGGTATCTTGTTTTCTCTAGGCAGCTATAAGCGGCGGATACACAAAGAAGGACAGGGATTGTTTCGGCAGGAGTTGGAGCGCCTTAAACAAACACGATGAATGAATTGTTCCCTCCTGCCACCCCTTTTGATTTTCCAGTTGACTTCAGAGAGCGGAGGGCTCAGAGGGAGCCGGGCTGGCGCTGGCTGTGCTCCCTGCCTGGCCGGCGGTGGGATCGTACTGGGAGTGGGACCCAGAGCACGCTGCGGTCGATGCTCCCGTTGACTCCAAGGCGCTCTGGCCCGGGCACCCATTCCTGGCACCCAGTTACCTCCAAACCGCCTGTTAAAAATGAACCGGGAACGTGCAAACCCCTCGGCAGCTGGCTCCAGGGTGCAACGAGCCCGCTGGTAGCCCACAGCCCTCCGTGGCCCCTGGGGTCCCCCACGGCCAGCAGTCCCGTGTCCCCGAAGCCACTGCTCGGTCTCCGGGCGAAGCCTGCACTTGCCGGGCACGCTGGGCTCTGCCAGCTAATGCCTCTCCTTGCCCCCCGCTCCGGGGGTGTCCCCAGTGCCCCGTGCCGGGGTCCCCGTCGGTCAGAGCGGGACTGGGGGTGGCATCCACCTCCGCCCCTGCCCGGGGAACGGCGCCCAGGGAGGTGCCACTGGGACCCAGCAGCTGCGTTTCGCCCGGTTTTAAACCCCGATGCCAGGGGAGGGGAATGTGCGCGGGCGCAGAGCCTCGCCGAAGGGACCGGCGAGAGGCTCCGTGGACGTGGCAGGTTCCTTCTGGGGGCCTGGAAACCAGCAGAAGTGCCTGCTAATGCTTTCCTCTTCACTAACGAGCTGCAGCTACCTCAGCTCTCAGGTGTTAATAAAATGGTGTGACAACACAGGCAGAAGGGCGATAGAGGCAGAAGTTTCTTACAGTACACAAAATAGGTTCCGTATTAATTGTACTGTCACTAGTGCTATTCTTTGAAGTCTTCACTGGTGTAAAAGTTTATAAACAATGGGGGGGAATGATAGAGTGTGACCAAAGTGCATAAATAATGCTGTAGGGTTGGTGCGAGGGGTACTGGGGAGATCAGCGGCGGAGCTCGGGTCCGGAACCCGCGAGAGCCCGGCTGCACCCTTGGCTGTCTGCAAATTTCTTCCTCAAGTCATTTTGCTTCTTTCTGCCTCGTTTTCTCCCATCCGTGACGCGGGGGACGGCGTCAGCTCCCGCTCGCTGCCAAGAGGTTCGGGGGCACCCAACCACATAAGTGCAAAAAGTAAGCTGGCGGAGTTGTGAGGCGTCGCACGGCGTTAGTGCCCTCAGCGCTGTGGTGACGGGGGAATTTGTTTCCAGCTGATCCCGCTGGTTAACGCGGTGCCTGACAAACGTAATTTCAGCGGGGGGGGGATTGATTACTTGCGGTACGTTGGATTGATTGAGGGATGGAGCCGGCCTGTGGGTCCGTGTTGGTAAGCAGGTTTTAGCCAATCTTGATAACCGATCCCCGTTTCCCGCTTCTGCAGCCGTCAGGGCCGTGCCGCCGGCCGCAGCGTTCCCGGGCAGGGCGCGAGCCCCCGATCACACTTGAGTTGTTTGGAGTGCCATGTCGCGCCGATGCTTTCATCTCAGAATTGGGATAATAGCTTTCTTTGGGGATGGAGGGATTAATTTTTCACACATCTGTCCACTGGAATGCAATAACAGATCCTTTGTTCTGGCTCTTTCCGTGGAGTGCCTTCCCCGCCCTTGTTATTTCATTCTTCTTTTGCATGGCAAAACTTTTTGTCCTGCATTTCAAATAGATACTGAGCGTCCCTGGCAGCTGAACAAGAGAAACAAACTTTCCAGCCCTGTTTTTTATGCTGCTTTCAGGGGATGCTTGGTGATTTGAAGGGTGTTTGATTGGTTTTGGCAGAGGCATTTCATTCCGTGGAAGATCCCCAGCTCCTCTGATCCCTTACAGACGGTTTAGGGAGCTGCTGGAGCCTCCAAATGAGAAATGAGAGGTGGCCAGTTGGGCCTGGACGTGCCACGGGAACTCCGAGGGCACAGTTCTTGGGACACGCGCCGTGGTGGGCAGGGACGGGAGGAGGAAAGGCTGGAGGGACGGTGCCAGCTCTGCTCCTGCCTCACCCGCCGCGGGGGGGCTCGGGGCTTGGCCTAGGCATGGCTCTGCATGAAAATGAAGCCCCAGAGCCTCAGCCCTTGGCCTGCAGATGCTTTCCCTGCTGTTCGGAGATCGGGTTGAGGCTAACACCGAGGTCTGCTCACTCCAGCATATCGCAGCTCCAGCCCTGAGTGTAGGTCGGGGGACCTGACCAGGGTCGATGGCTTCATCACCAGCCAGAGGGAATTTAGCTCCTGGGTATTCGGTTATAATATCCCCCAGTCTGGTTGTGCTTCCTCCTGCCTCCCGCTCCACAGAGGTTGTAGCAGTTCGTCAGCGTAATAGAAACAAAGGGATTGACATGGGCATTAAGGAACAGGATTTGCTGCGCGGTGCGTGGGCTCTGCGCATGAGGAGCAGCAGCAGGCAGCAGCCTGGGGTAGCTGTGCGTCCATTTACCTATACTATTTTTTTTTTTTTTCCCCAACAGCCCTATTACCATATTTAAATGCAAGTATGTCTTTTTTTAATTGATGTTTTAAGTAGCTTCAAGTCACTCTAGCCTAGTCGTTCTCTGCTCCTTTCCCCCTGGTAGATTCCCTGTAGCTGAGACGATAGCGCTAGAGGTAGCGGGCTTGTAGTCTGCTCATTTCTCTGGGTCTCGCTCTCTCCGTTCATCTAGCTCGCTGTTCTCTTTTGCTGTTGCCTCAGTTGTTGTTCTGTGGTTCTTCAGCATTGCAAAGCAGCTGTGATCAAAGTCCTGGAGCCCGCTCAGGGGGCAGGTCCCGAGGTGGCGACAACCCCCGGGGTTGTCCTGTCGGGTGCCAGGAGCGGTCGGAGCTCCCCAGAGACCGGGAACCTCCGAGGAGGCTGTTGACTTTGCAGCAAGGGGGTTTGGGGTTCTTGCTGATCACCTGGACCTTGCCGTTGCCCTCGTAAAATACATATATGTAAAGTCAGAGCCTCTGGCAGATCTTTTGAATATTAAATAAGTAAAGAATCTAAATCTGCAATCTTGCTAGCAGCATTGCATTCATCTGTGAGGGCTCGGTCCCCCTGTAGCAGGGTGTATGGCTTAAAGCTCCTTGATCTGCGGCTGTTTTGCTTTCAAGAGCTCTTTCTTTCTTTTCTTTCTTTCTTTCTTTCTTTCTTTCTTTCTTTCTTTCTTTCTTTCTTTCTTTCTTTCTTTCTTTCTTTCTTTCTTTCTTTCTTTCTTTCTTCTTCTTTCTTTCTTTCTTTCTTTCTTTCTTTCTTTCTTTCTTTCTTTCTTTCTTTCTTTCTTTCTTTCTTTCTTTCTTTCTTCTTTCTTTCTTTCTTTCTTTCTTTCTTTCTTTCTTTCTTTCTTTCTTTCTTTCTTTCTTCTTTCTTTCTTTCTTTCTTCTTTCTTTCTTTCTTTCTTTCTTTCTTCTTTCTTTCCTTCTTTCCTTCTTTCCTTCTTTCCTTCTTTCCTTCTTTCCTTCTTTCCTTCTTTCCTTCTTTCCTTCTTTCCTTCTTTCCTTCTTCTTCTTTCTTTCTTTCTTTCTTTCTTTCTTTCTTTCTTTCTTTCTTTCTTTCTTTCTTTCTTTCTTTCTTTCTTTCTTCTTTCTTTCTTCTTTCTTTCTTTCTTTCTTCTTTCTTTCTTTCTTTCTTTCTTTCTTTCTTTCTTTCTTTCTTTCTTTCTTCTTTCTTTCTTTCTTCTTTCTTCTCTTTCTTTCTTTCTTTCTTTCTATCTTTCCTTTCTTTCTTCTTTCCTTTCTTTCCTTCTTCTTCTTTCCTTCTTTCCTTCCTTCTTTCCTTCTTTCCTTCTTTCCTTCTTTCCTTCTTTCCTTCTTCCTTCTTTCCTTTCTTTCCTTTCTTCTTTCTTCTTTCTTTCTTTCTTTCTTTCTTTCTTTCTTTCTTTCTTTCTTTCTTTCTTTCTTTCTTTCTTTCTTTCTTTCTTTCTTTCTTTCTTTCTTTCTTTCTTTCTTTCTTTCTTTCTTTCTTCTTTCTTTCTTTCTTCTTTCTTTCTTTCTTTCTTTCTTTCCTTCTTTCTTTCTTTCCTTCTTTCTTTCCTTTCTTTCCTTCTTTCCTTCTTTCCTTCTTTCTTCTTTCCTTCTTTCTTTCCTTCTTCTTTCCTTCTTCCTTCTTTCCTTCTTTCCTTCTTTCCTTCTTCCTTCTTCTTCCTTCCTTCTTTCCTTCCTTCCTTCCTTCCTTCCTTCCTTCCTTCCTTCCTTCCTTCCTTCCTTCCTTCCTTCCTTCCTTCCTTCCTTCCTTCCTTCCTTCCTTCCTTCCTTCCTTCCTTCCTTCCTTCCTTCCTTCCTTCCTTCCTTCCTTCCTTCCTTCCTTCCTTCCTTCCTTCCTTCCTTCCTTCCTTCCTTCCTTCCTTCCTTCCTTCCTTCCTTCCTTCCTTTTCCTTCCTTCCTTCCTTCCTTCCTTCCTTCCTTCCTTCCTTCCTTCCTTCCTTCCTTCCTTCCTTCCTTCCTCCTCCTTCCTCTCCTTCCTTCCTTCCTCCCTTCCTCCCTTCCTCCCTTCCTCCCTTCCTTCCTCCTTCCTCCCTTCCTTCCTTCCTCCCTTCCTTCCTCCTCCCTCCCTCCCTCCCTCCCTCCCTCCCTCCCTCCCTCCCTCCCTCCCTCCTCTCCTCCCTTTCTCTCTCTCTCTCTTTCTCTCTCTCTCTCTCTTCCTTCTTCCTTCCTTCCTTCCTTCCTTCCTTCCTTCCTTCCTTTCTGTCTTTTTTAAATGACATTCCAGTGACTTTTTTCTGCTTGATCCCAGCAAATCTGTGATCTTGACATGAGGACCTCCTCGTATTTTCCATTACTGCTATGTCTGTAGATCGGCACGTTATTATCACTTGCAAATAAGCAAAGAAGAGAACCCCCTCGTTGTTTTGCGGCGCGGTCTGACCCGAGCCGTTGGAGAGTACGGAGACGTAAGCTGAGCGCTGCAGGCTCTGCCGCCCGTCTGTCCGTCCCGGCGCCTCGGCTCCCGCGGCGTGCCCTGGCCACGTCCCTCTTCTGCCGAGGGGATTTGGGCCACCGCTGTGCCGGCGGAGACCCGCCGGCGGTGGGCACCCGGCGAGGGCTCGGCTCTTCCTAAAAGCGGCGCCGGTTGATGGCACGGAGAGCCGGGGACGGCGGCCTCTGGAAACGCCGCGCCCTCGGCGGCCGCCCCGCAGAGACTCACGGTACCCGCTGGCTTCTTTCTTTACCCTTCTCCTTTTCTCCACGGCCAGGTTTTCCGGCAGCGGCTTATGGACCAGTAGCAGCGGCAGCCGTGGCGGCAGCAAGAGGATCAGGTAGGGGGGCCCGTGGAAGAGCAAACCCTCAGAGTGCAGGGTCAGGTAAAAGCTCTGTCGGTATTCTGTGTGGCTGCAGCTCTCCATCATTTTCTCTGATTTTCCTCACACTTATCCTGGGGACTTGAAAACAAACAATCCAAAAAAAAAAAAAAAAAAAAAAAAAAAAGATCTAAAAAATAAATAATCAATCCCAACCCAAACTACAAGCAGAGGCCACGAGGCCTGGAGCACCTTGCAGGAGATTGGCGTAAGAACTGCCAAAACCAGGGTAGATATTCTGATTTGTTTCTTTATTTATTCCTTTATTATGTTGGTTTCTTTGTTTCTTTGGTTTAAATTCGAGGTAATGAAGGACACCCCCCACCCCCCCAAAAAAAAAAATTAATTTGCGTTTCTGGAAAAAAAAAAAAAAAAAAAAAAAAAAAGGGGTTTAGTTTCTCATGGAAAGCCGGTGTTGGGTGGTGGCAGCAGCCCTGGGTGCTCCTGCCGTGTCCGGAGCCGCGAGGGTTGGTACCGACCACGAACGAACCCCGGCCCGCTTTCCTGAGGAGCATCAAAGCTTTTCTTCCTATCCCTCTGAAAACAGATTTTTTTTTTTTTTTTTTTTTTTCCCCTTAAGGGAAACAAATAAATCGTTGCCAATTCCCGCTGCTACCTTAGGTTTTTAAATTTAGCCGAACAGACGAATTGAGCGCTCTGCTCGGGCCACTAAGCGTTCAGCACAGCCACCAGTGAGCCCGGCGCGGCGGGAGGATGCGGCGCTGCCAGCGCCTTCCCAGCTCCCTGGTGGCACCGTCCTGAAATGAGGGTTTCTCGGTGGCTTTTCCGGCCGTCCCGGTGGGTTAACCGGGCTCTTCCCGGAAAGCCCCGACTAAACCGCTGCGTGAGGGGGTTACGAGGGGGGCGCAGGCCCGGGTGTGTCTCGAGGGTGAGCCTGATGCCGTGGAGGCCAAAGAAAGACACCAGGAGAACTCCGTTCCATGCAAACTGGCACTGCTTGCAGGCTACAAAGGATTATCTGTACCAGTTTCATCTTGTGGCATGTAGAGAGCGCCTAAGGGGTGACTTGCCAGACTGGTTGTGGGGATTCCCCCATCTCCCGGCTTCTCCTACTGCCCCTTCATGGAGGGGAGGGGGGGGAAAAAAACTAGGGGGGGGGAGGGGGGGAAAAAACAAAAACTAAAAAATAATTAAAAAAAAAAAAAAAAAAGAGATTGATTTTGCATATGATTTGGGGAAAACAGACTTCATTGTTTCTGCCTCTTCCTCATGTTTTGCCCTTCAGGTTTTGTTTTACGTGCAAACAGACCTGGTGAGTTGCCCCTTAGCAAGGCACAGAGGGTTTGGCTGGATTAACGTTGCTTCCCTGATTATTATTATTTTTTTTTAATCGGAGTGCTTTTGGTGCCCATTACAACTGAACTGAGCATTGATCAATTCTGTGCCTGAAAATCATTTGTCTTTAATTTGAGTGTTTTTTGCTTTTTCTTTTGTTGGGTTTTCCGTTTTGTTTTGGTTTTTCGTTTTTGTTTTTTTATTTGAACTTGCAATACGAAGCTAAATCTAACCCTAAATTAACAACACCCTTTCTGGCAAGTTTAAAGAGCAGTATGGTGTTTGGAAAAGTCTTTCAAGCCTCAAAATTGCCTGTGTGCACAAAACTGGCAAAACGCCCAAAACTGAACCAAAAGAGCCCCCCCCCCCCCCCCCCCCCCCCCCCCACGCCCTGGCCCCGAGATCTCAAGGAGGAAGACGGGTTTGTCCCCGGCCCGGCCCGACGGCCGCTCGCATTTGCAGCAAAACGTTCTCTGGGAACAGCGGTGTTTTACGTAGAGTCATTTCCATCCAAAGACGGTTTTCGGAAGGGACATCCTGGGTTCGCCACTTCCATCCAGCAACGGTAGTGAATTGTATTCAGGAGCAGTAAGAGTACGATCGATCTTGCGCTACAGTGTATGGGCCCGATTCATTACAAGAAAAAATGGTTGGGGTGTGTTGGTTTTTTTTGGTTTGGTTGTTTTTTGGTTTTTTTTTTGGTTTTTTGGTTGTTTGGTTTTTTTGTTTTGTTTTTTTTTTTTTTTGGTTGGGTTTTTCTTTTTCCTTTGCAAATTTGCACAGCCCTCCTTCACGCACGCCTAATGCGAAAGCACGGAGCGCAGCACGGTTGGCCCTTACTGGCCCCTTTCTGCCAGCGAACAGAAAAGAGCTGGGAAAAAACGCCCGAGCGGGCGCGTCCCACCTCCCCTCCGCTCGCTGGGGAGCGCTTTGCCCAGAGGCTGCTGGAGACGGCCCCGTCGCTCCCGCCCCACCGGCTCACTCCAAATTGACCTCCTCTGCTCTCCGGCCCCGTCCCGCCGGCTCTTCCCCCACCTTCCCGGCGTCGCCGCCGGCGCGGCGGCTCTGCAGAGGAAACGCGGAGAGCGTCCGCCTTCGGGTGTGCGTCTTGGTCTTCCAAGGAAGCCGCAGCCCTTTTCGCTCCAACCCCCCCAGCCCCGGGGCTGCGGTGCGTGGGCACCGACCACCTCGGGTTCTCCCCGGGGTGACGTTCCTCCTCTTAGCAAACCTGCGTATTTACTTACCAGCCAGCGAAAGGAGCCTGCGTGCACGAGGGCAGCGCCCGGCCCCGGTTCTGCCCTGCCCGGTCTTCCCTGCCCTCGCCCCTTCTTTTTCTATTGCAGCGTGTGAGGATGCAGTCACCAGTTTGCCTTGCTAGACGGACAAGTTCTCTTCTCTGTCACAGCAGAAAGGGACATTTCCCCCTGCTCGTGCTCAGCGCCACTCATAAATTCACACCTAGCGTAGCCGGCCACGTGCCGGCGGGGTGGACGCAGCAATGCTTCTCTTCCTAAACCACGTGCCCAGTCGACATCCCAGTGACGAGGCGATAGCTGAGGTCCCTGGAGCAGACCAGAGGGCTTTGGCCCCATCCATTCACGCCGGCTGGGGCTGCGCTGCCAAGTCCCTCAGCTGGTTTTGACAACCTCATCCATTCTTGTATTTTTTTTAATGAATTGGGACCTGAGCCACGGAAAACGAGCAAACTTAAAAGTCTGAATGCCGCAAACTCCTCCTAGACAACTTCACTATCAGTGTCACGTTTCTTTTCAATTCACCTGACATATTTTACGTGTAAAACATTTTTGTCGTGTAAATGCTTTTTTTGCAATACAGTCATGGGGGGGAGGGGGCACATTTTTATCTTGCATTCGACATGGGAGGGATTCATTTGGCAGGAGAGCGAGACAGGGAACATTCGGCAGGAGAGGGGTTTTCGTTCCTTCCTCTTTGGTTCATTGACAAGTCTGAGATTTTTCCAGTTCCCAGCCTGTTGCCACCGACCATTCCTCCCTGAGGACTGGAGACGAGCCCCTTGGGGCCACCCGTAATCCAGCCCCGTGGCCGCCGCTCGGCCCCGGGAGGAGCCGCGTGCCCGTCGGGGTGAGGGGCGCGGGCTCCCCCGGGCACGCTTTGCCCGCCGAGGCGGCCGGCCAGCGCGGTGGGACAGCCCGGTGCCACCGCGCCAGGAGCTGCTCCCCGTCCCCCCCCCGTCCCCCCCGACCCCCGGCACATCTGGATTTTGGGCACCAGTCCCGGCTTGCCAGTGCTGCCTTTGAGCCCCGACAACCCCTTACTGTACTTTATACTTGCCAGCTATAACAAATCTCGTAACGTGAGCTACTGACCTTGATGGTGAGTGTGAGCAGTTATGTTTTGTTGTTTTCTCTCTTGCTTGGTTGGGGCTGCTGTGAGAGAGGGTGTCTCTGAGGCATACTTTCCGGCCTCTCTTACACTCGGACGTGCACACCTCCTCTCAAACACTCTTCTGAGCGCTCTCAGCGGGAAGGTTTGTCCACACCTATTAATCCTCTCTCAGTGTCCAGCTTCTTGTTAGTAGCAGCTGGTTGCATGTTTTTTGCTTGTTCGGACGAAACGGTTCAAGAAACGACTCATATCAACTCTTGAGAAATGTCTCTATTTTTTTGTACACTTTCTTTCTTTTGATGTTTTTATTAATTTCCCTTACTTAAAAAACAAAACACCTGTCGTCCCGTAAAACATTTCACATCTCCCCTTGCCTGTTCTTAGAGTGTATGTATCTGTGGGACTGAACTAAATGCATGCACTGTAGTAGTCGTACTGGTAGCAGTAGATGTAGTTGTAGAACATGCATTGTTGAGTTGATATTATAGGTATCATCAACGTGAACTAGCGTGGCAGTTAAAAAGCATAGCCTTGGTCTGATTGAAAGCGTAGGGCTATCAATACAGCAGAGAGCTGCTAATGGCTTGGATCCATAGTACCACATTTGTTAAATCCCATTATCTGGAAGTTTAAATTGAAGCCGGCTGTAGGCAACCTACACCCTCTGTACAAGAACCCGCACATGCTGTTACGCTGATAGCAAATTTGTAATTTTTTATTTTTCTTTTTTTTTTTTTTTTTTTTTTCCAAATTAAAGCCCCTAGGAATTAAAATGCTGACTACAGCTATATTCTCTTATTTTTATTTTGTACTAAAAAGAACTTAAGATATTTTTTAAATCATTTTACAATCATGGTTTCTTCATCAGCCTGTTACTCGTCCATATTAGCCCATAGAACCATTCGTTGGCAGTCGTAGACCAGATGTGCCAAACGCCAATCACTCCATTTGGGTATCGAAATAATACCGCGTGTGGGAAGCAGCTTCCCGCAGACTGTCCTGAGACACACAGCAATTGCTTTTAGGTCATAAACCTTAAATCTTGTTATGCAACAGAGACTCTGAGCTAGCGGTAGGTCGTACTCATTGCCATGTCACCCAGCTTAAGGGAACATTTTTAAATGAAGATTTAACATTTCATAAATACCAGCATGAGGAGGTCAAGGCGAGTTCATCATCTTTGCCATCGAGCCAGCAAGTGTCTTCTCTTTTTGTGACCAGGTTTTTGTGCTAAACTTTTTCACAGATGAAGCCGCAGTCAGTAAATTTAACAGATGGTAATTGAGATCCTGAATTAGGCTTTTGTTTATTTGTTTAGTTTGCTGCTTGTCAGAGAGCAT